CAGTTTTTATATATTCATTCATACGGTTTAATAATATTTAATTGCATGAGACATGCATATTTTCATATATTATTTGTTATTTAATTTTTTCCCCCAATTTTCTTATCCATTGTTTTATATTGTACTTGCATATATTTATTATATTAAATTTTATAAAATGAACGCAGCTTTTTCGTACCATTACCCGTTTATTGCTTCTAACTTTAATGTTCCTTGTTATATTAAAATATTATTCATACATTCATAAAAAGCATTATAATGTTATGTTAGAATAATATTAGCATTATAAATAAGACGTGATCGCTCAGAATTTGTTAGATAACAAATAATAACTTGTGAATTTATGTTATTAATTCTTTTTGTTTTTACAATGTACCAAGATAGAGAGAAGGATAAATTATAAAAAATCAATAAATTTTTTCGAAAATCAGTCGAATATTCGATTAATAATTAATATTTAATATTATAATATTCAATTATTATAACATGATAATTTTTGCCTTCAAATTATTAAAACGCTAAAAGAAAAAAATAACGCTTATTCGCACCTCTCATTTTCTAAAAGTTTCTATTTGTCTAAATATTAAAATATTGGAAGATAATTTATAATATAAATATTTATAATAAACAATTGGTTTAAATCACTTAATTTAAAAGCATTAGCTATTAATCGGATTGAGTGAGTTTAATTTCAAAAGCATTGAATTCATAGCAAGAAATTCAAATAGCATAAATGTAAAGTAAATACAATTTATAAGATACCGCACTCATAACTTACACTACAGTTTGTAAATCTGCAATAATGTGTGACTTTTTTTAACAATAGAAGAAATAAAGTATCTTTACATTATATCTTAAGGTAAAATGACCATTTAATCTTAAATGCAGAGTATTTTTCAGATAAGAACTTGGATAATTCTCAAGGATTTAAGCCATTGTTTCCACAGCATATCTCTTCAGCGCTGATTGTTCCACTAATGATAGAATCAACTCCATATCTAACCTGGTCTGGTTTCTTATCAGCAACCGCATTTTTATTTTATTTAATTGGTCATCGCCAATGACTGTTTTATCAGGCACATTGTTTACAAAGAAGACTTCTATATCATAATAATAGAGGTCCGGTTTATAGCACTGACGCAACCTAAGATCATATTACTTACAATTAAGGGAGTTTTAATTATTTTAAATACCGAGTCTTTCAAATTTAAGGACGACATACTGATAGCCAAAATACACAATTCAATCACTTTTACGAACGACAAATTCAAATTACTTAGTTCATAGTTTAATAATCAGAGAGTCTTTGATTATGTAAATATCAAAGATATATGTAATAATATCATTATTATATAATTATGTACGTAATATGTTTTAACGTAGTAATAATATAAATTCACTACTATGAAAGCCACATTCTAAAGCAATTTAAATAATATCGTTATCTAAATTAATTAATTACACGGCAGCATTTCATTTTAAGGATTTTTTTTTTTTTTTTTTTTCATTATTATTCAAAGTTTTAGGCCATATAAAGAATTTCAAATAAAGAATTATTTGAATATTCAATCTGTATAAAATATTGCTCGTTATATGCAACTTATCGATCTTCTTTGGACAATCGTAACTTTAGCTAAAATTTTCTGGTCTATATTCATTCAAAAGTTTCTATTGACAAAAATGTGTGAGCCTAATTATTTAAAATTATAACATTGAGTAAAGAAGAGATTATCGTATATTTTTGGTTATAGTACTGGAAAATTAGTTTTTCGCAGTATCATCAGTGTAAAAACGCCTGTGTATAGATGTAATGTTTAATGAAAGAAATGGTTATTAATCCAATATAAGAGGATTAAATATATTTGAGAATGCACAGAATTTTACTAGGTACGCTTCACGTTTAAACATTATAAACTTCTATTTAAGTGTTGCAATATTAAATAATAAAGCTCGAAGTTAGTAGATCATGTCTAGTGCTGTTGGAACATATCACATACTCGGCGCTATATTTAGGTAATAAGCCGAGAAAATGAATACAGGAGAGTAAAATAGACAATTAATAACTCATATTATCATTGAATTACGTACTATTAGACATCTATCAAAAGTTTAGATTTTACGACTCTTACAATATGTCAACTTAATATCAAAGATTATATATAAAAGAGATAAAAATAAATAGTGACAATTAGAAATAACTGTGACAATGAATATTTGTTCGTGAAACTTTTCGTATGATATATATATATATGTGTGTGTGTGTGTGTGTGTGTGTGTGTGTGTGTGTGTGTGTTAGAAAATATTGCAACTATCGGTTAAGAAAATCGGTTAAGAAAATCGGTTAAGCATTGATTACGAAAAAAAGTTTTATATTCTTTTCAGCCAATGTAGAAAGATAAAAAAACATTGAATAAGAGAATGAATTTTATGATAACGTAGATAGGGTTTGTTTGCAGCAGTAGAATGTATATGTTTGTATATATTGCTCAATGAGATAATAAGAGAAAAATATATGTTAACCACTCAAAAGGTGATTCAAGAATTGATATTTTTACCAAGTCGATTAGGTAATACAACGCAGTATTTATAATGCCATGTAATATGAATGGAAATAATTTTTAAGCACAAATTCTCATATTTCCAAGGATATATGACATATTATAAAACGAGTATTTAAATCTGCGAAGAAAATTTTTATAATAAAATTATTACTTACATAAAATGATTGTTAATTGAATAATAGGGATACAAATTATTATAAGTAATTTAATAACGTTAGAATTGTAGAATAACTATTACGTAATATATAATACTTTGCGTAAATCAATGTAAAGATATAAAATTTAATGTATGAGTTGAAAAGTTCTTTGGTACCGTTTTATCATTGTAAATTTAAGCAAATCATTGAAATTGAGACAAATTTTTGTCAAATGTTATTATGTATATCAAGTTAAAGTAAAATATTGAAATCTTATAATCAACTATAAAGATTTTACGATAGCTGCGCGCTGTACAAATATCTTATCATCGTTTTTGTCTTTCTCAAATAATAGCCCAATGTGGTGATTAATTTATGAATTGGGTTAGGTAGATGGAATAGAAGTATAGCTGACTAGAAGAAGGCGAGCGAAGCTATATAAATGGTCACGAATAAATATTAATGAAGTCTACTTGAAAAGGTAAAACTATTTCATTGCCGAACAATTTATGAAAAACTTTAGAATCATTATTCTAGACAAGAGGATAACATCTCAGTAGATGAAAAGGTCGATAAGAGACGGAAAATTTTGTTAATATAGGCGTGTATAATTTATTTATTTAACGGGTCCACTTATTTATTCTTTTTCGGTAAACCGCAAACGCACGTAAAGCCCTTGTAAATGTTTGTCGTGGTCCAGTTAGGAGTGAGTGCAACTTGCGGGGGCGAGAGGGATTCGAAATATTTGAAAACACAAATAGATCGCTCCATTAGATAGGGACGTTTGGAGCTATTTCTTTGTCAACGCTCTCGCCAGCCTAGCACTTACGCCACCTCGTTTCTGAATATACCTGTCTCGTTTGTTAATACCCTCATCTCCGTTAAATATCAGCATCTCCCGGTGTGCGTTCACACACGCGCACTTTCATTGTCGCCCGTTCTTAAATATAAGTCGAATGCAGAACAGGCTTACATTACTAGTGGAACCGTATGCTGAATACTAATAGTCCCCCCCCCCCCCGCGTCGTCACGCCGTCACGCACTCACGCACGCAAACGAGCAAGCAAGCAAGCAAGCAAGCAAGCAAGCAAGCAAGAAAGCACGCACACATACGCACACGATCTCTCTCTCTCTCTCTCTCTCTCACACACTATCTCTCTTCGTCTCTATGAATCTCTTTCTTTGACTTACACATCGTTAGGCAGCGTTTGACCAGTGAGAATGAATCGTGTATTCCCCTGTCAAATGGAGTGACGACTGAGAAATCATGATACTCATAAGGGCACGTGAGATAATGGAAATGGACAACAACACACAAATGTCTGTCCTGCTCGCCGCATACATTTCTACCTACTATCCTTTATGTTCCGTTGCTTATTAAGATTTCCCGGAAAAAAATTTGTGTTCATAAATGGAATTGATAATGCATCGTTGTTCCGATAAAGACTCAAAGGAACGTCTTTTGACATTGTCGCATCTTTCTTTGAAAATTTTAATATTCCATTCGGGGTTGGTAATGAAGTTTCACTTATCGAATGACTATGGATTTATCAACTTCATTTATTCCTTTTGTAAAGTATTTATTATTATAAGAGTCTCGAATAATAGTTTGTGCAACGAGGGACTCTTATTCTTAATCTTTAGATTTCATCTTATCTACAAACGACCATCAAGACGTTTAGATATTGCGACTATAAAATCATTATATCATAAAGCAATATTTATAAACTTATAATCTCACCGACTTTATCAGCATTTAAATACAAACGATTTAAACAATAAAATATACATTTTAAGGTGCCATTTAAATTTTCGGGTTAATTTTATTCAGAAGAAATTGTAAATCATGATTAAGATGATGATGATTAATAAGAACGGGGAAACGAATTTATATGCATTTGGCATTATTTGCAATTAAATTAACTAAAAATCAACTTAATACACAGATTTAAAGTATAGGTCATACGAATGGGAGAAGAATCATTTGAGATAATGGAAAGGTGCTGCTATCCATGCGCCTCGTGCATGCTTAAGATTTAATGTATAGCGGCGGAACGCAGCGATCATGTAATATTTATAAATAATAATTCACTTATTTGCAAAATATATAATATATTATCTATTTCATGGTTGTAGTGATAAAATATTGTAATTCTATATATATAAATAAGGTTTCACATAGATTTTTCATAGGGTAAAGTCATTTGACGAGAGAGTAGCCAGATGAAGAGCGGGAATGAGAGAAGACAAAATTTTATCTCAAAAGAAGGCAACCGTCGAAACTATCAAAAAAGCGACTAACCTCCTCGTGCAAGGATCTCTGTTGTAGTCCACTCCAGCACATTCTGCACCTGCATAAGTCCTTGTCGCGAAGGGCCTCGCTCCAATCCCTCTCTCTCGAGCCGTTGATCTGTGGTGGCGGAGGTGGGACCGGCGGGGGCAGCGGACTCGTGGCGACCTCGAGACTGTCGGAGCTCGAGTTGTGCCTCCGCGGAGGCGTGACGTTGGCGACACCACGCTGTGCCCCCAGGCCGGATGGTACCCCAACCCCCATCCCAGCCCCGACTCCAATTCCATTAATTTGCCTCGCCTCCCCTTGCGCCACCGCTGTGCCAACGAGGCTCGAGGGCTGGGGTCGCAGGAAATCATCTAAAAGATAGAAGCTCTGTGCCCTCGCGGAACGCGCGCCCCGCGTCTGCTGCTGTACCCGACGCGCCTGTGCCTGCACCGCTTCCTCCTCTTGCTCCCGATCGGCCTCGGGTCGCTGTCTCCCCGTGCGGAGCGAGCAGCCCTCGCCCAACGCCGTGCCAAATCTCCGGCTAACACCCCGTCTGTAGCAGCCGCCCTCGAGGCAGGCATCACCCAATGAGCCACATTCGACGCAATACTCGAGGCTGGCGGCGGAGGCCTGACTAGGGCCAACGGGTGTCCTAAGTAGGGCCCCCAGGGAGCGCCACCTACGGTCCTGGTTGGCCGCTGAAGCGGAGCTCGTGGCCGAGACGGAGGCCGAGATCGAGGAAGAAGCCGGCGTGCTCCACTTGCGCTCGCTCCCCGGCCACTTGCCGCTCTCCTTGCTCGGGGAGGCGAGATTCCCACAGCCGATCATAGCGCCGCCTCCGTTGGCCCAGCGGCGCTCCTGCGTCGGCGAGGTAGCAACACCGCGCGGCGGCCCACCGAGCTCGTCGCGCTGCCGGCTCTTCCACCAAGAGGACGTCGAGGCGCTGAAGAGAATGAGGGCGCCGCGTAGAGGATTCTTTGAGTCCTGGCGCGAGCGCTCGACGTCCACGGCGGGCTCCGGCCGCGAGCCGTACGCCGACTTCGTCGCGAGCTCCTGCTCGTCCGGCTGCCTGAATACGGGGCCGGGCAAGGGGTTGCCGGTGCGCAGTCGTGCCCGCGACCTCACGAAGCCGTAGTCGTTGCTGGTGTCGAGGCAGCCGAGCTCGCCGAGCTCCCCAGCCCCGAGGCCGGACTCGCGCGCCCTCGCTTCAACTTGGGCGCGGGCCGCCGCAGCCTGACGGTGTTGCAAGGACGTGAGGCCCCCGTACTGCTGCATGTTAAGCTGGAGGCTCGGCTGCTGGGGCAGTGTCGAGGTGCGAGCCCGGTGGCCCTCGCTGCCCGAGCCGCGCTGGAGGCAGGAAAAGCTGGCCGAGTGCCTCAAGCTGGATGGTGGATTGCCTGGCTGGCTGACGCCCAGCATCTCGACGGGCCCTGAGGCGGGTGAAGGTCGGGGGGAGGGGGGAGGTGGACGAGGGCGACTCTCGGTGAGGGGTCTGCCTGCCGGGGTGAGACGGCGAACGAGCTCAGGGCTCTCAAAGCCGGTTCCTCGAGTCGAGTACGGGTGTCTCCTCGCGGCGAGTCCTGCCTGATGGGTATCGCCCCGATCTCATTGGCGGAGATGCGCCTCTTGGCATTTTACCTGCAACAGAAACAAGAGGGCGGGGGTAGGGACCAGCAACTAAAACGTAATTATGACTTTTATGTGTGATTTGATGATGGGTGAGTGGTCGGCGATTCGCGATGGCCAACGTAACTCTTGCTTCGTTCCCGGGGCAGCGATAAACCTGGAGCTCGGAAGCTACTTACGGAAGTAATGACCCTAATAAACTTCATGATTTCATATGATTTCATGATTAACGTTACGAATGTGACGATGCTTGTGAGTTGTGAGTTGAAAGGAATGCTTCGACCGAGCTCATTTGACTTTAAACTCTCGATCTCTTTTTCGATCTCTTACCATCTCTTTCTTTTTATCCATCCATTCGCGACTCTTTTTAACTCGTTGGAAGCATTCCAATAGGATAAAAAGCCGAGGAATTATGCATAACGCAAAACATAGATAAATATTTACGTTAATAATTGATATAAATGAACGAATGATTTATTCATTTATTTATTCTTAGGCTAAATTGAATTAAAAATTTTTTATCGAACTGAATTTTAATCGATAGATGTTTATTTATGTTAAACTTTTGGGGACGTTGGGAATACGTCTTGATTGTAATTGAACATCGGCTTTTGAAGCTCGACAAAAGTTTCAAATTTAACGATAAATTATTACTACAATCGATTCCAGTTTCAAATCAATGAAGATAACGATCTAGGGTAAACTTACGAGTCGCATGATGATTCGATCATCGTTTATCGATAATAGCGTTAATACTAACCCTCCCACCGCCCCACCCTCCCCCGATCACTTGCCGACAACGAATAGCATAATGTAGAAATAAGCTTGCACCTTTCACGAGAATTATCGCATTAATTGTCAGTGATTGGCCGGTACTTGGTCTCGGATAAAAATCGAAAATCGTTTGATTGTTAGAGCGATGGAATAGCTTTTATCCACGTCCAGGCGTATTTGCGATACGGAGCGTCGGTCAATGTGATATTAGCATAGTGCGTGCGTTAATTTTCCTTCGGAATAAAACTGGCGCTGCACTTCCGGGATTGCGAAATGCTCTGGAGGTCGAGCTGAATCGTATAATAAATTCACGCAGGACACGCAAAAGCTTGGAGCTGCACGCAGTGACTAACGGTAGTGCATTTCCATCTCCGCGGATGTGCGGGTTGGATAAAGTGGCGGCTCGTAAGAGTATGAAGAATCGCAAGAGGAGACTTTGTCTGTTTTTAATGCCGGCACCTGGTCGCCGTCTACAAGTTGTCTATATGTAGGTGCTCAGCGGTAAAAGCCGTTTATCCCGAGACACGTAAGCAACACCCACACACGAGGCGCGCAGTGGTTCATTCGACTGGCTTTCTCCCTGCCTCTACCTCCACCGTACGCTCTCTTGCGCTGGCAAAAGGCAAGGTCGTTCGTCGGTTTGCGAGGGCTCTCCCAGTCACTTGGCTTTGCCAAAACCAAGGTTTCTCTCTCTCTCTCTCTCTATCTCTATTGTAACCTCCCCCCACTATCTATCTATCTATCTATCAATTCGTCCATTCATAGGTACGATGATCCATCCATACAGCCAGCCAGCCAGCCAGCTGGTGTAACCGCTGTACCAGACTCTTTGTAAAGTTGTGATAATTAGTCGAGTTACGGGTGTCGATAATCATCACAGGTAAAAAGAAGCCTGGATCTTGATCCCGCAGTACTAAAGATCCGCGCCAAGTGTGGTCGCTGGCAAAACGATATTCCATCGGACGAGCGCCTTCTCCTCGTTTTCCTTGTGCGGCCAAATAAATGTGCACACGTGCGCGTTTAACGCTCTAAATATCGCAGAGTCACCTGGTCGATTTAATTGACCGGAATCTTCGTCCGGAACTAATTACTGCCTCCGAGCTAAGCAGACGTCTGCGCGAAATTGTGAAAGCACCGATTTAGCGATACTCTTCGTTGCACTTACTCCAAGAATGATGATTTCTCGAAGAAGGAATCCTGAACAGTGGCTGCTGCTGTTCGCCTTTATTGCGAATCTTCGCCTCACTCTTTTCGCTTTATATTAACCGGTTCTTCTCTCTCGTAATAATTAGCATTCATTGATCGACGCAAGTTGTACTTTTATTTACAACTTAAGCCACAATACCATTATCATTATTTTCAGATCTCGTTAACGCATCTTTGTTGTCAATACAATAAAGACTTTGCTCCCGAGTCAGCGTGTTAATGTTCATCAATAATTGTATTTCATGTTGCAAAATAACTTTATTTGAAAATTTTCACAGCTTATAAACAGTACTGCGTGCCTTAATTACCCATAAATATTTTATGTACTCACTTATTACCGAAACTGTAATTAAACTAATAAAATGTATATTACCATTTCTATTCGTGAAATTACTCGAATAACGAAAGTAAATGTTTAAATACCATATATACATATATATGTGTGTGTGTGTGTGTATGTGTGCGTGCGTGTGTGTGTGTGCGTGCGTGCAGGCGCACGCGTGAATGTAAAAAATCCAAGTTTTCAAAATTAAATCCAAGTTTTTAAAAATAAATTAACATTGACTAGATTCCTTTTCCAATAATATAAAATTATTGTTTCATTTTACAGTCAAATATATTGTTTCAAATATAATCTATACTATTTAAAACTTCTTAATTTATCCTTTTATAATATAAGATAAGGAGAGAGCAAGATTCTTCATGTTACATACAGCTCTCCTAAAATTCTTCATCTATCTTATTTAATTTCGGGCATAAAGTCTAAATAGGATAATTATCGTAAAAGAAAAATTAATATTTCAAGTAGATTAACGTGTATCGATAGGTTGTCATTCCTGGCAATGAAGTAAGGATCAGCGTGACGACGCACTGGACAGTCTCGCGCGACTGCGACTGCCTAAGTCACGCAACGTACAAATATTAAAATTCCGTGCCAGAGCGCGACATCGTTACCTCCTCCATGTCGCATCTCTCGGGCCAGAAAAAAATAATCACATTTGGCTTTGAATATACATCGTAGCCAAAACCCATTGCATAACAGCGCAACAAATGTAAGCGCGATTACTGTTTTCATTGATTTGTTTTATTTGCAAACACCGTTGTAAATATCAACAGCTTGTAATTGTCTGCTTCGTATTAATTCGACCCAATAAATGTGTAAAATATCACTAGAAAATTTATAATAGCTAGCTTCGAATGAACAATGATTGTTCTTCTTTTTCTTCTTTAACATCATTATTAAATACATCATAAAGCTTTCAGAATTATGCTAATTGAAATTATATTAATAAGCTTTAGCTATTATAGAAAATTCTGAATAAGTTATCACTATATGTTAATCTTATTTATAAAGAATTTTTCTTGTCGAATTTTTACGTGCTTGGTATAAATATTGATGTATCCTTTCCAGGACTTTTATAAGAATTTCCGAAACAATATTTAATATAGGGCCCCGAGCGAAGAGAATATTTAATAAAGGCCCCGGACCAAGAGAATAATTAATAAAGGTTTTAGCAGAAATGTAACAATACAATCACATAAGGTCTTGGTAATTTTACTAAACAAAACACGAAGAGTCTCTTATGCGATAATTAGAAAAGAATAGTAATTAAATATAAAATATAGGCATTGTAAAGTGAATCTCTCGAGCTAATGAATCATGTAAGGTAATCGTATAAGAATGTCGTTTGCATTAGACAGTAGGGGAAGATTTTGAAGTTTGGTACATGTAAATCGACGTTCGGTGGGTCTCTCCTCGCCTGCTAACACTGCTAAGCCCCAATTGTGACTCCCACCGACCTCGCCAGCACACAGAGTGCAGTGTCCTCAAGAAGGGCGAGTGGCGTGCGCTCGATATAAAAGAAATCTGCGGGGAGGGTCGAGAGGTAGGTAGGAAGGTAGGAAGGTAGGAAGAAAAATGGGGTGAGAGCGATATAAGAGGCCACACATTGCATAGGGAGCACTCGATAATGGATTTGTCGAATGGCCGACGAGGCTAGTGACCCGCAAGAGGCCGAGTTGCTTGCGCAGCGCCATCGTAACCCAAGTGGTAATACCCCGGTGTCGAGGGTTGTTGCTCTAAACGTCCGTAAAAAAAAAAGAGAAAGAGAGAGAGAGAGAGAGAGAGAGAGAGAGAGAGAGAGAAATAATAATAATTTAGGAGAGAGAAGGGGGTTTAGAATCGATATTCCTGTGCGCTGTCGGCTACGACTTTGCGCGTTGTGACAGGAGCGCGCGTGTCCAGCACGTAACGACCCCGCTTCAGTCACGCGTTGTCTCGCTTCTTTTAATTATCACGCCCAAAGA